TGTGAATGTATTCTGTCTTTCATCTCCTGTAGAGAAAACAGGCATGATCACTGCAAAAGATGATCACACTGAGGGAGGGGGGAAAGTGAGGGTCTTAAGAACCAAGTGGAAGCAGTGCTGGGGCATCAAGAGAGGTCTACAGGGTGGAGGACAGGAGTCCCCAGTGCAGCGGGTTGGAAGGGTTCAGTGAACGTAGAGGATTGCTGAGAGTCATGAGAATGAATTGGGGTGGTAAAGGAGCATAGAGTGCGTGGCCTGTCCTTTCATCAAGCCTCAGCATGAAAAACATAAGAGAGGGGAAGAAAGGTGAATGCAGACTCCTTCTTTATGATACTTGTGATTGCAAAGACTCATAGAGTGTGTAATCTATGCTGGACACAGTTTTGTGTCCATTATGTGTGACAACTAATTTAGTCCTCAAAGCTCTGCAAGGCAGGGGTTATTATCACTGCTTTTTTTGTAGATGAGGAACCGAATGCCTAAGGAAGTTGAACAACTTGCCTAAAGGCCCCAAGCCTGGGAGAATTGGGATTTGGGTCCAAGCAGCCTGGCTCTGTCATCAGTGCCCATAAGCACAGTGTTTGACTCAGCAGCCTGAGGCCAGTTACCTGCTGAGTGCAGACACCCATTCTTCTACTTCTTTCTTCCTCCCTTCATTCAAGAACCTCCCCAGGGAGTGGTAAAGACCCTGGAGAGAGGGGGTGTTTGACAGATCAGGACAAGGCTTGGCATGTATCTGTGGCCATTTAGAAACACGGGGGAGGGATTTGCTTCACACAGAAGGAGGTGATAGGGATCCCTCACTGGGGCTCCATGACTGCACTTCTGGGGGTCTCTGAATTGTACCAGACAGGTTGTGGTTCAGGAGATTTTAGGAAGGAACAGGTCCACTTTCAGCCTCAGCTTTTCCAAGGCATAGAAAGCCCACCTGTATCCCATGTCACCAAAATAAAAATGTGAGGCTCTACTGCTCTGAGTTAAAGAATGCAGTCAGACCAGTGTGTGGGAAGCAGCAGGGACACCACAGCATCTACCGAGTAAGAGCATGATGGGACCCAGGACGTTATGGATACATTGTTAGACAAATCCATTCATCACCTGACACACATAGACTTGTTAGATTGTAATAGCAGTGCTAGATTATTTCTCAATTGTTCACTTAATCTACATACTCAAGATTTTTAGGCTAATACACTATTTTTGTTTTAAAGAAAAATCGAGTGGAAAGTACTGACAGTTCACATATGCCCACCACCACCGTCTCCCCTATGATTCACATCTTGCACTAGTGTGGGACATTTGTTTCCACCAAAGAGCCAGTATTGATACATTATTATTAACTAAAGCTGGTAATTTATGTGGGGCTCACTCATTGTGTTGCATAGTCTATGGGCTTTGACAAATGTAATCAATCACACTTGGTCATGGCGTATATTTCTTTATATACATTATTGGATTCAATTTGATAATGTATTATTGGGAATATTTACGTTGGTGTTCATGAGAGATATTAGCCTATAGTTTTCCTTCCTTATAACATCTTTGTCTGATTTTGGTATTAAGGTAATACTGGCCTCAAGGAGTGAGTTAGGAAGAATTCTCTTTGATTCAAACTTTTGAAGAGATTGTAGACAATTCGTATAATTAAAACTTAAATGTTTGGTAGAATTTCCCAGTAAACCCAGCCGGGTTTCCTGATTTCTCTTTTAGAAGGTATTGATTATTGATTCAATTTTCTTGATAGACACAGGCTTATTGAAAGTATCTGCCTCTTCTTCTGTGTGTTTTGATAGATTGTGCCTTTTCAGAATTGTTTTATTTCATCTAGGTTATGGAATCTGTGGGAGTTATTTATTATTCATTTAATGCATATGGGATCATTGGTGGTGGCCCCTGTTTCACTTCTGATGTCAGTATTTGTGTTCTCTCTCTCTGTCTCTTTTTAACTTAGCCTAGCTAGAGGTTCAAAATTGTATTGATCTTGTCAAAGAGCCACCTTTTAAAAATTTTTTCCAACTTTTATTTCAGGTTCAGGGGGTACATGCACAAGTTTGTTATATGGAAAATGGCATGTCATGGGGGCTTCATATACAAATTAGTTCATCACACAGAAAATAAACATAGTACCCATCACGTAGTTTTTCTACCCTCACCCTCCTCCCACCCCCCACCATCACATAGGCCCAGGTGTCTATTTGTCTATTGTTTGTGTCCATGTATACTCAAGGTTTGGCTCACACTTGTAAGTGAGAAAACATAGTACTAAGTTTTCTGTTCCCGCATTTATTCATTTAGGATAATGGCCTCCAGCCCCATCACATTGCTGCAAAGGACACAATCTCATTCTTTTTGCTGACTGTGTAGTATTCCATGATATAGATACCCCAGATATTCTTTATTCAGTCTACCATTGACGGCCATTTATGTGGATTCCATGTATTTGCTATTGTGAATAGTGCTGCAGTGAACATATGTGTGCATGAGTCTGTATGGCACAAGGATTTATATAATTAGTTAGGTACATGGGATCCAGTAATGGGATTGGTGGGTTGATTGGTAGTTCTGTGTAAGTTCTTTGAGAAATCTCCAAACTGCTTTCCACGGTGGCTGAACTAGTTTACATTCCCACCAGCAGTGTATGAGCATTCCCTCTTCTCCACAGTCATGCCAGCTTCTATTATTTTCTGACTTTTTAATGATAGCCATTCTGACTGACTGGTGTGACATGGTCTCACATTGAGGTTTTAATTTGCATTTATGTGATGATTAGTGATGTAGAGCATTTTTTTCATATGCTTCTTAGGGCCCTTCCCTGTAGAGGAGGGCACCCAAGGATTTGAAGGCAGGCAGGGAGCCTGCCAAAAAGTGGTTCCAAGGAGGCCTCCTGCAAGCCAGGGTCCATGAGAACAGGGAGTTAGAGTACAGATGGAAGGCTGCCCGGAGTAGGAGAGCATATATGGCAGGATTGTGCAAAGAAGTAAATACACAGAGGATAATGGAAGTTAGGGTTCTCCAAAGCTGAGAAGGAAGCAACATAGGTGGAAAGGTGGAAAGAGAGGAAAACATAGTATAAACTCCATATTCCTGGGCTGGTATTGGAAGTCTACGTGCAACCTCAAGTTTGCCAATAGAAATAAGAGCTTCGATTCAAAACACCATATTCTCCAACACCAAGGGAACAGGGATCCTTGTAAATATGGCTGATTAAGTAGAATTTGAAATTTTGACAAAACAGAGAACTACACACTAAGCATAACAAAGAAGAGTTGTTTATATTCACAGAGCATATCCCTTTGGCAGATGTACAGTTAAAGATTTATGCATCCCACAAGAGGAGTGAAATGATGAACCAGAACCTCTGAAAGCTACAGGTAGTTAGAGGATGAAACCATGATCACGATGAGAAATTTCAAGGTGCCCCTTTGATTAACAGTGTGCATAATCATGATGGCAAGAACACTAGGTTCAATCTATTGGGCCAAGATTAGGCTCTGGGTACCTAAATAGAACTTTATGTTTTGAGAATCATTGCAGCATCAGGCCAGAATTGGCATAAGGGCCATAGTTTTCCAAACCAGGCTAAAGATCATTATCTTATTTCATTTTCTTCATTGCATGTATCCCTAAATGAGCAGAGAAGCATCTGATATCAGCACATCTGCAACACCTTCATGGTATGCCAGTTGGAAGCTCCGTGGCAGAATACTGGAGCCCCAGAAACTCGTGGTGACAGGTCCCTGTGTTTTCAATCCAATTCTTTTGTACCTGGGGAAAGCACATTTCTGACAGAGTCCACTATTTCCTACTCCCTGGGTCCATCTGTCCTTGTGCCATGAGGTCATCCATTTAGGGACACAGATGTGATGAGGGTGAGATGATCAAACACAATTCATTCTCAGTTGTGGGAAAGAACCTTGGAGTTAGCTCATCTCTGAGGGAAAATATTCAAAATGCACCGCCGCTTGGTCGGCCTTATGAAAGCAAAGCAGTTCTGGGCTTTGCTATTTGAAAGTAGAGGAAATGTATCCAATCCCCACCACCTGCCCAGCTGAACTGCTGCCACCCAGGTGATCCTCAGTCCGGTGAGGAAGTTTGTGAAACAGCGGCTGTGACTGAATCACCAGCTGATTGGGCTTATCATAATGCATTATAACTCCCAGAGACCATTCTTCCACATCAACCAAACTGCAGAATTAAGTGGGAGGTAGTGGAGGTCATGGCCCTTGCATTTCTCAAGTATAACGTGGACTGCTCTGTAATTCCACAGGGTGTGGGGCTGCTTTTGAATGACGACATTCACAGGCACCTGGTGTTGCCACATCTCCCGCTTGCCCCTTTCAATCATAGGAGCTACTGCTGCATGGGTCAGGAAGCCAAGGACGGTTAGGGGGTGGGGGCATTGAAAGAACACAAGTTCCATTAGGGCCTGGAATTTTGTCCTTTTGGTTGAGGGTATAACTCTAGAGCCTCAACAGTGCCTGGCACATCAAAGAGAGTCAGTAGGATTTTGTAGAGTGAACCAATGAGTGAAAATGGGAATTTTACAAGACCTTCACTGTCCCTATCAAGTGGGAAACAAATCCCTGGATGACTGAGACGTCTCACTGGATCTGTAGTGTAAAGTAAAAACACAACTCTGTTTATTCAAGGACCAGTGGTAGTGGTGAAATTATGAATCACAGGACTCAGGGTAAGTTCACAACGACACTCAAGCTATGCTCAAAGGTCTGAATACATCCGTTCCCCTAGGTCACAGCTACCTAGTTAAATGTTCTATTAGACGAAAGCATGAAGTTTCATGGGGTTTACTTGTGGAATTTTAGTATAACCTTTCCCAGTGAGTAAGTAGCTTATCCTTCCTTCGACGGGCTCTGTGTTTGTACGTTTCTTCGTGACTTCACATGAGCTGCACCCCTGCAGCAAAGTGGCTCACGGAGGCTCACGTACAGCAGAGTCGGCTTTCTATGGTTGTTGGTGTTATTTAAAAATCGACAGAGGTCTTAATGCGTTGCTCAACAATTTTATTCCTAAGGAACTAGTGATGAATGAACCGCAGCTAAACATCATAGATGGCCCAATCATTCAGTCATAGAGCTTAATAACATTTTATGTTAGGCACTCTTCTAAGTGCTTGGAGATGCTTTAATGACAACAGAAAAAAAAAAGAACAACAACAACAACAAAAAGATCAAAACACATCCTGCCATTGTGGAGTTTACATTCTAGCATGGGGAATAAGGAACATATTGAAACAATAAACAGCGCGAGTTATGTGGGTGAAAGAAGATGAAAGAGACTATGGAACAATACAGATTGTACAGACAGCATAAAGGGGGCTCAAAACTGAAGTCAAATTGTAACTTTAAATCATGCCTTTAACATGCTGTCCCTGATGCCTTTTCAGTTAAATGCTTTGGCTCCGACGTTCCTTTTTGGGCCGTCCCAGGCCTCCATCATCCTGGAATCCACTGCTGCTAATGGGAAATATGGAATTCAAATTTAATGGCAGTGTTCATTTTAATTAAGAACTCCTTTCCTCCAGTGACTAGCGAGCTATTTTCGCGTGGTTTTTAATTGATAAGGCACTTCCCTAAGCTGGGTTCATGGTCCAATTGAACTAGCCAGTATCTCAATTAGATTTACCAGAAAAGCCATATGTAAAATACTATTTAGGCTTATTAAGCTAACCTTTTCAGTTAAACCAGTCCCTTTACTGCTCATAAAAGGAAAGATAAGCAGAATAAAAATGCTTTGTCATTACGATTTTTGAGCTGGGGTGACAGAAACCGCTCTCCAAATATAGCAGAACTGAATGCTCTCCACCATGACCACATTGACGATATCGTATACTTGAGGTATGTATCCATCAGGAAGTTTCACAGAATCCAAGGTGAAAAAGATAGTATAATCTATCACCCCATTTCTTCCATGTACGCTAGTAACGCAGACCTGTGAGTATAAATAATGGAAATGATTATGAAAAAGCCCAATAATTACTGTAACCAGCTTTGTACCTCCTCACTCTGGGTCCTGCGTGAGTGCAGGTCACTTCGATGCAAATCATTGATTTCCAAACTGGTTGGCCCGTTGCTAACACGAGGGGTGCTTTGTAAGAATACCCATGTCCACGCTCCACCTCAGAACAATTAAATCAGACTCTCTGGGAATGAGGCCCGGGTCTCAAATGAGAAATCCAGCTCTAAATATTACCAAAATATGTCCATTACCCTCTGTGGCCTTGAATTACCTGCGCATATTCAGGCTTTAATACCCAAGTCATCCTCAGCATTTACTGGTAAGCTCAAGTCCCACAACACATTCCGCTCATTCTTTCCCTAAAATTTTCTGGCACAAAGATTGTTTTTCTTCCTCCTGTCATTGGAAGATTCTAATAACACTTGGATATTGAGTAAAATGCACAATTTAGAACTTAATCATGTGCTCGTTCTACGTAATTTTCTAATTATTTCCTTTGGAAGATCCTGCCTTTTCAATAAGAAAAGTGGCTCCTTTGTTGGCAAAGAATGTATTTCTTCATATTTTCTGTTATTCCCATTACACCCAACAGAATCCTGGTCACGTAAATTCTCACCAAAGGAAGGGTTATCAGAAACTGCTGACAGGAGCAACAGGAAAGAAATTACCTCTTCCACATGAATACAACGGGTGGGCTTCACAGAAGTTGCCTTGATGTTTGAGATGCCTGGCTCAGTGGAATATTCAACTTCTAACAAGTCACCCTTATAAGGCACAAAATCTAAAACAGCCATGGAGAAATGTGAGTGTCATGATCTCTTAACTAGGTCACGTTTAATTTCACACGTTATTTGATAGTGTACTACTTTAAAGTCAGTTCTGCTAGAACTAAAGTCCATTTTGTGCATATTTAAACAGACACTGCAAATCTCTAAGTCCAAAAAGAAATTTATAATCCTTAGGCATTGATTCTCCTCTACTGATTTAACAAATTTAAATGGAGGAAAGTGTCAACTATGCATCACAGCCAATCTGAGGGAGCGGCACAGGATTTACTAAACAACTGTTCGTGTTCACAATTGCTTAGTGAGAGGCAGTCAAACATGTAGGTAAGAGCACAAGTTTGACCCTGGCTACGTGGCTTCGAATCTTGACACTGCCACTCACTCAGTGTGCAACCTTAAGAAAGGTGGTTAAACTGTCTGTGCCTCGTTTTCTTCATCTATAAAATGAGAAGCACAGTAAGTAGCCTTCATGATACGCAGCTGCTGTGAGAATTAGTTGATATGTGCAATACACACAGAATCATTCCTGGTGCATAGTAACCACCAAATAACAGTTGATTGGTAGTAGTGGTAGCAGTACCACAAGAAAATGTTGTTACTTTCAGAATGAATGAATTTCCCCTGGTGTTGTGTTCGGCTGATGAACTCTTAAGTATCTGCCTCACAGGTTACAGTTAAGACCACTGAGTTTCAAACAGAAGTTTGCAGTAAGTTAAAAGTGAGTCACAGGATAACAAAGTTACATGAAAGAATCTGGAGCAAATGGAAATCCCAACTGCAAGTGAGACAGTAAATTGCCACAATGACTCCAGAAAACTAGCAATATCAACAAAGTGAAACATTTCTTCACCTTAGGACCTAACACTGTAGAATGACACAAGACACAGTGTTAGACCTCTTCTGTCTCTCTCTCTCTCTTTCTCTGATAATTTACATACATTTATTTTGTGTGGGTTTAACATATATCTATATGCTTATAACTCCAAAATGTATATACCTCCAGCTCTAACCAACCTCAGGATCAATAATCCTTATGCTTACACCAATCTAACATGTGTAAAGCTGAGTTGCTGGTATTCTCCGTACTCACCAACTTTTGTTTACTTCAGTCATCTACATCACAAACTGGCAACTACACTCTCACCACTGCTCAAACCAAAAACTTTGGAGGTACCTTAGACTCATTTCTCCTCCACATCAAAGATCTAATCCATTACCTCCTGGGTTCTTCTCTAACTTCAAAATATATCCAGAGTCAACTCAATCCTCAGGTCCTCCACTTCTCCATTTTCATTCACATCTCCATCATCTCTCACCAGGAATATTACAACATTTTCCTAACTGATTTCCTGACTCCACCCTTTCCCTCATAGTCTCTTCTCCACAAAGCAGACAGTGTCAACATCTTAAAACAAAATTCAGGTCAGAGTCCTGCTTTTGCACCTAAGAAAACAAACCAGTAAGCTGCCTGGGGAAGCAGAGCTAATCTCCCCATTTATACCCAAGCTATATGACAGCAGCAGTAGACAAAACAGACAAAAAAAATATCATTGGGTAGAAGCTAAATATTAGAATATATCTGCTGATTACAAAGAGAATTCAACAACAACAACACACACACACACACACTCACAGGGCGCTATCTCCAATCCTAAATTTGAAGCATTTGAAGTGTATTCTTTTAAAATTTGGTAATCTACCCTGTCACAGAAACTTCTCTAGTAACCAACTACAGAAATGATCCCTTCAAGTATAGTTCTTGAAGGGTATTAAAAATAGTGTCTCTATGTACTTGTAGGGTTGTTTCCATGATTAGAAATTAAATTCTTATGTGAATGAAAAATATATCCAGGCATTGCTGAGGGCATTGAACAAATGAACACACAATAGCCGACAGCACACAATTTATAATACTGTCTATTTGCCCCTATATTGTACCTAATTTTGATTGGAACGGTCTACTTCTAACATTGAAGAGCCATTGACTGAAGCCAAGTACACTGTAAAAGTTGTTCCAGGACTAAAATCCTCTCAAAAATTTAAGAATTAGATCGTATATCTCAAAATGTAAATCATACCTTCAGAAAAAATGTCTATGGAAAAATAAATGCTGTTACTAATATAAATAATATCTTCACTTATAGAAGTAACACATCCAATTAAAACTCTGGTTCCTGAGTCTGAGGGTACAGCACCATAAAGGCGGTGAGGCACAACATCCACCTGTAAGATTTAGGAAAGAGTTACTTCAAAAATAATACAAATTTAAACATGGAAATTGCATGATTAAAACACTTGTATTCAAAAATATTTTCAACAGCCATCCTAAACACTGGTGAATATAGTTCACTTGGCAAATGGACCATTGACTTGAGATGATGGTAAAAGTCATGTGTGTGCTTCAAGAATTGTGAAATGTATCCCAAAACATTAATTGCCTACCTGAGTTTAATGCTCCTGTACCATTAGATTCCAAGATTTAAAAAATACCGTCCTTAGCCTGCAGAAATTCACAATGAAATGACGGTAAAGTGGAAAGGTATGTAGTCATAAGCAGGTTGCGATGAAGGATATAAAACTAGTTCAAAATGGTTTCTGTGAATTATCTAGAGGGAGAACATTTCAGACAGGGAGAAAATAGGGGCATTGCTTGGGGGAAGTCAGATTTGTGCTGGGTTGTGAAAGAAGACAGAGGTGTAACCTTGTAAACTGGGGTAGAGGAGCACGGAGGCGGAGAGAAAACAACAACAGAAGTTAGGAGCCTAGGGAGCAAAATCCTAACATTCGAGATCCAGGCCTAGGAGAGAGAAGCACAAGATAAAGTTGGAGCAATAACCTCAACTGGGGAAGGTTCAAAAAACCAAGCCAAATTAGGGCTTTACTTGATCTACAATAAAGAGGCATACAAACCTTTTTCCTTATTGGAAGTGTAATAGTCCTTATTTTATAATCCTTAAAACTTACAGAAATAATGCAAGTTCATTGTACTAAAAATAGGAAAAACAAAAACCAGATATGCAGACAGCAAAAGGCGGTTACCCCATAATCCATATTCCATTACCAAGAGACCACCAGGGACTACATTTTGGCAGTAACACTCATCCTGATGTTTTTGTCTGTGCACAAATATATATATACATATGTAAATGCCTGTTTTAAAAGCAAATTAGCATGGTATTCAGTATTAAAGTATCACATTAAATTAACACAAAGGTTTTTAAATAACAAGAAAGGACAGTAAGAGTCATAGGGAATCCCAATTAATGGATGTGCTGTAATTTACTAACCCAATTCCACGTAATTAGACATTTCACTTGTGTCCTAGCATTTGGACTACTTGCCTGACTGAACTATAGGATAAACTCCTAGGGTTGGAATTTGCTGATCAAAGACTTCTGATGGAAACTTGAGCCACTGAGTTGTCAGTAATTTTTCATGGTTTTAAAAATAGCCTAGTTTGCTGCTATTCCCATTTCTTAACTGGTGCCTTTCCAACTGTCAATACCAATCTGATGTTTATTTTCCCCTCACCTACTATCATGAAGGAATGAGGCACCAGTCTCCTGCCCATGTATCTATCCCCACTTTCGACAGTATCCAAGTGGGTGATCCACAGGACCCTTGGACCTCTCTGAGCCTTGACTCCATGCCAACTCACAGACATATTGCAGACTAAAACTTTGCCCATGTCTCATGGCTCCCAACTCTCTTTCTCATGCCTTGCAAATGCCACCAACACAACAGCAGGTACAAACAGATAATGTTGAGGGACAACTGAGTAGCCAGTAGTGAAACAAGATGTGGATCCTTCTCTCAGTCCTGCACATGAAAAGCAAACCCAGACTGGCTGTATGTTTAGATATAAATAAATGAATGACTTTCAGAAGAAAAGCTAAGTGAATACTCCTGTAAATTATGTCTTAGAATTAGCCTAAGGATACTTCCTGAACACAGAAGCCACGTGGACAAGATGGACATATTTATAGCATGTAAAAATTAAATAGATGGAGGAGGAGGGGAGCAAGAGGGAAAAATAGGACTCTCCAGTGATCGTCCTCCTGCAGAAACATCAATGTGAAAAACTATCCTTGTATGAAAATACCCTCATTTGACATAAGGAAACCAGATGAGAGACCATGGTACCCAGTTATAGCATGAAAATAAGAAAAGACGCATTGAGGAGGGTAGTAAGAACAGTTTTACATTACCCATATCACCCCTTCCCCGACCTTCAACAGCACAGCATGGAGAGAGATACCATCCACCCAGAGGAGAGAGATAGTAGCAAGCATAGGACATTGCCTGGGAACCCAATATCAGGTCACCACTTGACAGACGCCCATGGCCCCTGACTCTCAGATGGTACTTGTGGACAGAGTCTCTAGACCCACCCTGGCACCAGACAGAAAGCCACAACCACAGCAAAACAAACTCAATACCTGGTCTACATCTCTGTCGAGTGATTCCAGTGGCCTTATGCTCAGAATATTCTACAGCCACAGGGAGTTCTCAGTGAATGGAGGTTTGGATTCCAGTCTCACAAGGGACCAGCCTCCATAACCAAGGGAATCTCAGCCATTGTAGCATCTGTCGTTGTGTCCCTGGGAATAGGCAGCCCCCTAGGACTTCAATAGCTGTAGTGTTCACAAGCATAAGGACCAAAAGAGACCTATGTAGAGTTTCCGGACAGGCTTACTGCTAAAGGATGTCCCCTAAAAGCTAGACTGTAAAGACTGAAATGAATACCTACTTCTTCAATACACAGATACAAACACATGACCACAAAGATTAAGAACAATAAGGAAAACATGACATCACCAAACTGACAAAACAAGGCGCCAGCAATTGACCCTAGAGTGATAGGAATGTATGAGTTGTTTAACAAATAATTCAAAATATTTATTTTCCACATGCTATGTGAACCTTGAAAACAATTACACAGAAATGATTCAGAATTTATCAGAGTAATTTGAAAGAAAGATTGAAAGAATTTTTAAAAAACCAAGCAAATCCAGAAGTTGAAAAATACAATGAAGGAAGTACACAATAGAGAACATCCAAAGAACAACTGATCGAGCAAAATAAAGAATCTGGAAACTTGGAGATAGCTTCATTGAAAATATACAGTCAGAGGAGACAAAATTAAAAGGAATGGCACGGAAAGAAAAAAAAAACTTACTGGATTTCTGGGACAATATCAGAAGAGCAATAGTATGAGTCATTCACATTCAAGCGGGAGGAGTAAAAAGATCATTTAAAAAATAATAATAGAGAGCCATCCAATCTCAAATAATAAAGGAGAGCCATCCAAACTCAGAGAAAGTTACAAACATCTAGGTACTGGATGACCAAAGTTCTGCATGCAGATACAATCCAAATAAGATTACCCCCTGACATGTTAAAATCAAACTGTCAAAGATGAAAAATAAAGAATCCCAAGAGCAGCAAGAAGAACGAAGCAAATCATATATAAGGCACTTCCAATATGCCTACCAGAAGACTTCTCAGCAGAAGCATAAAAGGCCAGGAAAGAGTGGGATAGTCTATTTTAGGAACGCAAGGAAAAAAATCTCTAATCAAGAATAATGTACCCAGAAGTGAAGGGGAGATAAAGACTTTTACAGAGAAATCACAGCTGAGAAACTTCCTCACCGCCACAACTGTCTTACAAGAAATGCTAAGGAGAGTTCTTCCAACTGGCATAAGGGACGCTAATGAGTAATGCAAAAACATTATATGAAGGTATAAAACTCACCAGTAAACGTAACTACACAAATTCAGAATATTCTAATAAGGTAATGGTGGTTTCCAGATCACTTATATCTTTCATGTAAAGGTTAAAGAACTGAACTAGTAAAAATAAAATAAGTACAATAATTAATTAAGGGATATAAAATATAAGAAATTGTAGTAAAGTGTGAAACAGAAAACCCAAAATCCACGGGTGGAGTTAAACGGTAGAGTGTTTGCATTTTGTGATCAAAGTTATGTTATCAGTAAAATAAACTGCTGTGATTATGTTTCTGTAAGCCTCATGCTATCCACAAAGAAAAAAATCCTGTAATAGACACACTGAAACAAATAAAAAAGCAAAACATACTAATAGAGAAAAATCTCTTATCCATCAAGGAAAACAGTAAAAGAGGAAGAAAGGAAGAAATTACCTACAAAATAGGTAGAAAAAATTCTCTAAGTGACAACAGTAAATCCTTACCTATCAATAATTACCTTGATAGTAATGGATGACATTCTCCAACTAAAATGCAGAGTAGCTGAATAAATTTAAAAAGCAACAACAGCAACAACCAAACCTATGAGAGACCCACTTCTCCTTAAAAGACATTTGTAAACTGAAAATGAAGGCATGAAAAGATATTCTTCCATGTAAAGGGAAACCAAAAGAGCGCAGGAGGTGCTAAACTGATTTCAAATAAAATAAGATTCATATCACAAACTGTAAAAAGAGACCAAGACCATTATATAATGATGAAGGAGTCAATTCATCAAGAGGATATAATGATTTCCAAAACTATGGACCCAACATAGCAGCACCTAAATATATGAAGCAGATATTAAGGTCTAAATGGTGAGGTAGAGTGCAATGCAATAATAGTAGGGGACTTCAACACCCAACTTGCAGCAATGAACAGATTGCCCCAACAGAACACTGACTCCACAAAAAGTGGAATTTATCTGCACTCTGGACCAAATGGACCTGACAGTCATTTACAGAACATTCCATCCAAATACTCCAAAACACATATCCTTTCCAACTGCATGTGGAACATTCTCGAGGATAGATTATGCGGCAGGCCATAAAACAGATACTAGCAAATTAAAGGAGTTTGAAATAAGATCAAATCAGTTCTTTAACCACAATGGTAAAGTATTAGAAATCAATAAAAGTAGGAACTGTGGAAACTTTAGAAGTGGATGGAAATTAAAAAACATGCTCCTAAATAACCAATGGATCAATGAAGAAATCAGAAGCAAAGTGTAAACATTTCTTGAGTTGAAGCAAAATGAAGGCACAACATATGAAAACCCATGAAATACAACAAAAGCAATTCTAAAAGTGAAGTTTACATCAATTAAGCCTACCTCAAAATAAAATATGCATCTTCAATAAACAAGCTCACACTGCACCTTGAGGAACTAGACAAACAAGAAAAAATTGCAATGCAAAATTAGGGCCTAAATCATAAAGATCAGAGCAGAAATAAATGAAATAGAAATGAGAAGAACAATACAAATATCAATGAAACAATGACTTGGTTTCTTGAAGAGGTAAAGCAAATCAACAAAACTTTAGCTAGACTAAGGAAAAAAGAGAGAAGATTCAAATAACTAAAATCAAAGATGAAAAAGGAGACAGCACAACTGACATCACCAAAACAAAACGTATCATAAGGAAGATTATGAACAATCATCTGGCTACAAATAGGAGAAGTTAGAAGAAATGAATACATTCCTGGACACATACAACCTGCCGAGATGTAATGGTGAATAAATAGAAAATCTGAACAGATCATTAATGAGTAAGGAAAGTGATTCAGTAATAAAAAATCCCCCATCAGTGAAGAGTCTAAGATAGAATGACTTCCCTTCCTAATACTACCAAATTTATATATAAAGAAGAATAATTAATAGCTATACTTTTAAACCTATTCCAAAAAAAAAAAAAACGGGCAAGAGAGGAACACTTCCAAACTCATTCTGTCACAACGCATTACCCTGGTGGAAAACCCAGACAAGGAAACACAAAGAAGAGAAAACCGAAGAAAACTACATGCCAAAATTCCTGATCAACACAGTTGCAAAATCTTTAACAAAGTATTAGTAAAGCAAATTCCACAGCACATTAAAAAAATCATTCACCATGTTCTAGAGGGATTCAGCCCTGGGAAGCAAGGAATTTTCTACATACACAAATCAATAAATGTGCTATATCACATGAACAGAATAAAGGACAAAAGTCATAGGATCATTCCAATTTAAGCAGGATAAGCATTTGATCAAATTCCACACTCCTTCGTGATTAAAAACTCCACAAATTAGATATAGGAGGAGTGCACCTCAACACAATAAAGGTCATACATGATAAACCCACAGGTAACAACATACTGAATGGGGAAATGTTCCAGGCTTTTCCTCTAAGACCGGGAACAGGACAGAAATGCCCACTTTTGCCCATTCTATCACACATACTTCTGGAAGTGCTAGCCAGAAAAATTAGGCAAGAAGAAACAAAAGGCATCTAAATTCAAAAGGAAGAATTTAGATTGACCCTGTTTGCAGATGGGAAGCTCTTATATATAAATAACCCTGAAAACATCACCAAAAAGCTACTAGGTCTAATAAACAAATTCAGGAAAGTGGCACGACACACAAACAACATACAAGAATCAGTAGCATTTCTATATAACAATAGGGAACTATCTGAGAAAGATATCAAGAAACAATCCCATTTACAACACCTTCAAAAAAATTAAAATAGGAATAAATTTAACCAAGGAGGTGAAGGATTGCAACACTGAAAACTATAAACCATTGACAAAGGAAATTGAAGGAGGCAGGAATGAATGAAAATACATCATATGTTCATGGACAGGAAGAATAAATATTGTTAAATGTCCGTAACCTAAAGCAATCTACAGATTCAATGCAACTCCTATGAAAATACAAATGACATTCTTCATGGAATTATAATTCCATGAAGCTCTTTTTAAAATATTTACAACGCACATGGTTTGACATAGAAATTCCACTGCTGTGAATGCGCACTACAGAAAATGTTTTTTTACCTGATAAGGGAAGTTGCAGGATTATAAAGAGTTCAGTAATTATTACTGTTACCCATATGGCTTAAAGATTAGAATAATAGATAAGGAATTTTTATGTTTTACAGCACAAATTACTACAACTATTAGAACAGAAGAACCCACAGATTCAGAGGGGTGGGGCTTCAAATTGCGGTCTACATCCCCTCTACGGATCACAGGAGAGATGTTGGATTAATACAAGAAAAGAAAGATGCGGAAAGAAAGCCCACTGGGATAACACACAATTTCCAAACTCATGCACATCTCACCTTGATTGCTCTGAATCCATAAAGTGGTTTATCATCTTCCACAACCACATTTACTTTTTGTCCAACTTTTAGAGGCACGTTGCCACTCACAACATCACTACTGAAGAAGATCGACTCATCAATTATGCCATAATCACCACAGAAACTTGTGACAACTCCCTGCACAGTTTTCAACTGGGTGTCACCTACAAGATAAAGAAACTAGGTCATATTATTGGCCTCAAATGCAAACACCTACTACAAATAAGTCTTACACTCACCATCTGCATAACCCTGGACAGAGAAGTTTTATAACATCTCTGACCTCGTTTTCATCTGTCAATCCACAACAATCACAATTTCGCCTAATAGGGTTGTTGTAGGTTTTTAAAATATTTTTTAAAATTTATCAAAATTTAAATGTTAAAATTTTAAATTATTTTTTAATTTTTTGAGCAGAGTCTGGCTTTGTCGCCAAGGCTGCAGTGCAGTGGCGCAATCTGGGCTAGCGGCAACCTCTGCCTCCCAGGTTCAAGTGGTTCTCATGTCTCAGCCTCCCAAGCAACTGGGACTACAGGTGTGTGCCGCCACACCCAGCTAATTTTTGAATTGTTAGTAGAGATGGGGTTTAGCCATGTTGCCCAGGCTGGTCTCCAACTCCTGGCCTCAAGTGATCCACCTACCTGGAACTCCCAAAGAGCTGGGATTACAGGTGTGAGCCACCGAGCCCAGCTTGTGAATATTAATATTAACATGCACACCAACTGTCGAGAGCTGTGAGTGCCTTGCACAAGAGTGTGTAAATGTTACCTGTTAGCACCATGTCTACATATGAGTCAAGCTTCTGCTCCTATTATATTCCTTCATCATTATCACCAATTATGATGAGTAGCACTTTCTATAGATACTTAACTGTCTCAGCAGACTAAAAGATATCTGGAGATTGAAGGCTAGCCCAAAACGGCATCTGAATGGTTTTCTTTATTTATTTATTTATTTTTTTTGTTCTGCACAAGCCTAGCTGACAGCAATACTTAGGGATCAAACCTCAGCAGTTGCCCCACAGGAGTTCTGTGCCTTCGGGATCGGATAAGTATAAGGTATCAACTTGGCTTCAAATTACATTCCCATTTGGGATACAAGCCTAAATTCACTCGCAAATTAGGGAGTTTCTCGCCTACTGGAAATATAAATAGGCATGTGCTGCACAACCACGTGGGGGGAAAGCACAGGAGGTACAGCCCCCAAGGTCTTCTCTGTCAACACCTTTCCCGCTTTAGATGGACAGGAGAGTTTGGGAGTTGGTTCTCAGGGACTTGTTGAGGACTAGGGTTGCCTCCCCATGCACACACAAGATGGAGCCGCCGTCACATGCTGTACCCGCTCGAGTTACCACAGCCTCATTCCAGGGGTGAGGAGAACTCCTACTGGGAGGCTTCTGGGGTGGGGGAAAAGTGGACACACAGATGAATACCTTGTGGGAGCCCCTGCTGCTGTGGGCCCTGTTGCTCTGCAGGGTCGGCCGTTCTCCCGTAGAAGGCCAAAGCAAGTCTCAGAAGCCTGAGCATCGTCCCAGTTGTCACCACCAGCCTGGGCACCGCTTGTGACAGAGGAAGCACGAGGTCTCCTCAGTAAGGGAAGCCCTCAGGTCACGGCGTCTCCTCAGGGACTCACCTCCTGCTTCTCCTCCTCAGCCTCTGTGGCATGGGACCCAGACGTAAGTGAGCCCCCTCGGGAGAGTCAGGGACATCGCAGCCTCCAAAGGAGCTCCCAGGCTCCCCTCTGACTTCTCCCTTTGAGCATGCGCTCATCAGGGCTCGCCTCTACCACTGTCCAGCCAATGGGCGTGCAGTGGGTGGGCGGGCAGGTTCCTGTGGCTATTAAAAGGTGATGGGTGGGAACATTGTCGCTTCTCCCACCAAGGCTGAGGGTGCCATTAGGATGGCCTGGGGGAAATGGCTTGGGAGCTTGGGTTCTCCATATACTAAGGAGATACAGGGCTCTTCTCTTGGGTTCCCTGGGAGGATGGGTGCCTAAAACACCGTCTGTGCAGCCAAACATCCTTCTCTTGCCCCTGTATTCGTGGTGCTTAGTATAAGGAGTCACCACTCAGTGGGCAGTCAATAGTTAGTCCTCACCAGGGATCAATTTTGTGGAGAAAAGGCATCATGTGAGTAGGCAATGTTTTAGTGATGGCAAGTACGTGTCTTTTGTACTAGGATTCCCATTTTGAGTCCAGTGATAATTTATAATAGAATCCTTTTATGATCATTGCTACCATGAACTCATCGCTTACCTGGTTATACTTACATTACTCTGCTATACACATTACCCTTATTCATTCATTCAGCAAAACTCGTAGGGCACTAACTGTGAGCCAGACACTGTTCTGTGTTCTTAAAATTTGTTAGTGAATGAATGAGTCAAGAATCTTCACCCCGTAAGGGTAGTTTTTTCACAGGATGACAAAAGGGCGACACTAAGCATCACATAATAAAATATATGATATGTTGGAAGACAATAAATGCCATGGAAAAATACGGCAAGACAAGAGGGATCCACAGTGCTGGGCATGGGGGGTTGGATTGCACTTTACAATAGCATGGTCAGAGTAGCCCTCATTGGAAAGCAATAGTTGAGAAAGATGTTGGAGTTAGTCAGGCAGCTATTTTGGGGAGAGTCATTCAGACGGAGGGCTTAGTTTGTGCAAAGACCATACAGCAAGACTGTGCCTGATGTACTCAAGGAAAAGCCAAGTGATTAGAGCAGAGGCAGTGAATAGCTAGAAGAGTAGGAAGTATGGTAAGAGAGGTAATAGAGGTTCAGGCTGCATGTGGGATAGTGGGACACTGGAAGTCCTTTCACTTTTATTGTCCATGATGTGTAAAGTCCCTGAAGGATTTGGAGTCTTCCAGGGATCACAGGTGCTTGGTTGTGAACAGGCTGGAAGAGGTCAGAGCAGGAAGCAAGGAGAACAGTTTGGATGATTCTGCTGCAACCCATGGGCACTGTGCATGAAAGCTGTTTGTCTTTCCTCTCCTACTATGAGAACAAGTAAGAGCCTTGCCAAAGTTTAGCATCTGGTTAACAGGATCGGTTGAGGGTTATCTATGTCTCAAGATGTAACACAGCTGTGTTAATTTCCTAGGGAGGCCACAGCACATTACTACAACTACGTGGCTTTAAACAACAGAAATTTATTCTCTGGCAGTTCTGCAGGCTATGAGTCTGAAATCAAGGTTTCAGTGAGGTTGGTTCTTTCTGGCAAGCTCTGAGGGAGAGTTTATTCCAAGATTCTGTAGGTTGCCAGTAGTAATTGGTTGGCTTTCCTTCGGTTGCAGATGCATCACTCCAGTCTCTTCCTCCTTCATCCCATGGTGTTCTTCCCCATCTGTCTGTGTGTGCGATGTACTTCTTCTTATAAGGACACCACTCATTGGATTAGGGATGTATGACTAATCCCAATGCTGTAGGACCTCATCTTAACTTGATTTTTTTTTTTTTTTTTTTTTGCAAAGACCCTATTTCCAAATAGTCACATTCATAGGTACTGGGGCTCAGAACTTGAGCATATCTCTTTCAGGGCAAAATTCAACCCATAGCAACTGCTCTTGTACATTTTGATTACTCCAATATTCTACGATTATCAATGAAAAATTAAGACACACAGGTACGCAGACATTTCCTCTTATTTCTCTGAGAAAACACAGGCCGCGAAACAGGAGCCCCTCTGTGAACCTCCTGACACCCATCCTGGCTTTCTCTTCCTTTTCTCTTGTAACAGTGGAAGGACATCGCAGCCCCTGGCCAGGGCTGACACTCCACTGAGCACATAGAACCATTCTCTTGACACATTTTCTCTGAGAATGTTGTTTCTATTGCTATTGCCTCTCTTCATTCTGCATCAACAATCTTTTTTTTTTTAATCTTTGCCTATAAAAGAATAACATACAAACATACACAAGAATCACCTATCTTAAAAACTTCACAAATAACTCCCATCTTAAAAGTGTACATAGATAAATAAGCTTCCTTGACCTCATTTCCCCTTCAGTCCCATTCTTCTGTATCCTGTCCCCCACAGCAAATGCTATTTCAAGAATCACCTCTGCTCACTTCCTGAGCTCTCATTCCCTCCTTATTCCTCTGGCATTAAGCTTTTATCCCCATCATGCCCCTAATTTGCTCTTAAGATGACAGGAAACCTCCACGTCACCAAATCCAGTGGTCAATATGCTAAGCTCTCATCACTCAACCTCTTAGTGTTTGACACAGTTGAGGACTCCCCATTTCTTATAACAAGTTCTTCAGTCTTCTGTGTGACCACCCTCTCCTAGAAAGACTCCTTCTCAGCCTCTTTTGGGAGATGTTCCTCCTATCAGGATCCCACAAGACTGCTCCAGAACTCAGGCCCTGAATGGCTTCTCTCTCCACATGCCAGCCCTATGGCATCTACATTCAGGTACTCCCAATCCCGTGTATATACTGAGTTACACACATCGTTATCCCATAGATATCTCAAGGGTAAGGTGTCCAAAATTCCACATGTCCTGAGCTTCCTTCAACCCTTGCACTTCCTTAAATCTTCTCCATCTCAGACGATGCCAGCTCAGTTCAAACAGTGGGTTAACATCATATCCCTGCCAAAACCCTTAGTTTTCTCCATTTTCTTTACACACTCCATGCCATCCATCAGCAAAAACTATCAATCCTTTGAAAACATACCTGTAGTCTCACCACCTCTAAAGAATGATTGAAAAATATCAATGGCTTAAATTTGTTAGTTTCAATCATGGCACAGAAGAAAGCAGAAAGAACCAAAGAGATAGCAGCCATTCAGACATGAAAACATGCCCAAAACCCTTCCATGTATACCTGCTGGCACAAATAGAGCTAATAATGGATACTGCAGCAAGAGATTGGTGCTAAGAAATAGCCTTAGAAAGAGGTAAGAAATAGCCTTCTCTGGCAAACTTCACTAAGTAAGACTCAGCCTCCTCTGCAGGGATCAAACTCTGCTGGCAGAGAAGCTACAGGTAGATTCTAGCACCAGGAAGACAGGTCTCTGCTGAGAGAATACTGCAGAAAAAAGAAGGGGCTCTTCTCTACCACCCTGCTGAAAACATTGTGAATGATCTCTTGTGGTGGCAGGTGCCTCCAGAGGCCGGGAACACATCAGATAAGAAATGGCTGCTGGGCCTGAATGTCAGGGGATGAATTCCACTGGGTCACAGAGCAGCTGTGTGCCCCATCTTGCCTGTTTGTGTCCCTGACTTGGCTGTAGAATGGACACGACGCTACTGGGACTTCCTTCATAGGATTCTTTGTGAGGATTAAATGACGTGTGTGTCCCAAGGCCTTAGCCCAGTGCATGCCATATACAGATGCTTGACACAAAGTAGATTAACAGCAATTCTGAACAGGGATGCCATGCACCCCATTAAACCTTTGCACATTTTAACTGTCTCCTATGAACAAAATGCACACCTTCACAAGTATCCATGAAGCAACCATTCACTGCCAGATTCCAGCAAAGATATAATCATGTGATTTGCCTTCTTGGCTTCTAATGACCTGCATGTTTCACCCTCAAATCAGGGAAACTGACTCCGACTGAAAATATTGAAAACAATCTGTCCGTGGTCACTGCCTTCAAAAACCTCTTATCACAAACACCTGCTTACTTTTCTTTATGTCACTAACTGCTAGACAGAAATTCTTACTTATTCATATGCTTATCCGAGTGTTGTCTGTCTCTTCCCACTTGTATGTCAGCTTCATGACTGCAGAGCTTTTGTTCATTGTTGCTTTTTCCATCTGCTGGGCGTTAAGCATCTAGAACAGTGCTGGGCCCATGGTAGGTTTTCAATAAATACCACAGCAATTAATTGAATCACAAAAGGGTAACATCCTGAACCATTCCAGGCAACCTGAGAAAGAATCTGGCTTTAAGGCAATTCACACCAAATCTGAATACTTTGCTTTCCTACATGCATCTATCTAAACAGTATTTGGCCTCATTCAGGGTAATGTTACAGCTGGCTGTAAAGGTAAGAGCTGTAGTTCGGAAGACATTAGATCCCGGCTCAACTCAGCTTTTTCCTGGCTTTGCAACCTGTCCTCAGGGTCTGACCACAGCAGCACCTTGTAAGTAAAATCGGCCAATAAATTGGGTTTTCTTGCATATCAGTGATTCAGCCTCCCTTGTGTACATGAGTTACACCATGGAGTAAAATGTTACTCCTTCCATTACAAAAGCTACACTGGAAATAAGTATTGGACTAGTGTTTAGACAAATATTTCTGTAAGAATAGAGTGACAAGACTTTAGAAGACATGTATCAATAAGTATATTATTCATTATGATTTAATGGATGGGGACAATTCCCATCCATGGGAAATTTGGAATTCTCATGTGATGGGAGTTTTTCCAATTCATATCTTTGGTTTTCAAAACACAATGAGTGTTTGGATTGCTTTTATTTGTTACAGAATGTCAATGTCAGCTCTCTGTTGTCTTAGCTTTGTCAGCTATAACACAATACCACAGACATTTATATTGCACAGTTCTGGAGGCTGGCAGGTCCAAGAATAAGATGCTGACTGATTTGATTCAGGGCAAGGGCCCTCTTTCTGGCTAGAAGATTGTCAACTTCTGGCTGTTTCCTCCCATGGAGGAGCGGGAGCAAACGCTGGCTTCTCCTCTTCTTCTAAGGATACTACTCCCATTATGGGACTCTACTCTTATAACCCATCTAAGTCTAATAGCATCCCAAAGTCCCCATCTCCATATAGATCACATTGGGGATTACGGTTTCAACAAAGGAGTTTTAGGAGAACACAGATGATCAGTCCCCCTAACCACTGTGAGGCAAGTTCTTTATGCTGTCAAAATAAATTGTACTTTTTGTTTCCTTTCTTTTCTTTTCTTTTTTTTTTTTGAGATGGAGTCTCCCTCCGTCATCCAGGGTGGACTGCATTGGCATGATCTTGGCTCACTGCAACCTCGGCCTCCTGGGTTCAAAGGAATCTCCTGCCTCAGCAAGCCCAAATAGCTGGGACTACAGGCACCCAACACCAGGCCCAGCTAAATTTTTTTGGATTTTTAGTAGAGATTAGGTTTCATCATGTTGGCCAGGCTGGTCTCAAATGCCTGAGCTCAGTCCGCCTCGGCATCCCAAAATGCTGAGATTACAGGCGTGAGCCACCATGCCCAACCACCTTTTG